GTGCGCCCTGAGCTCCCTCCCCAGGGATCCGCCCGGACATCTGCCCGCACAGCCAGGGGAGCCCGGGCCCTCCGGCCACGCCTCATGGGACACCGCGTGCACCCGGCTGGGGTGCCGGGTGCAGCGGGCAGGGCGGGCAGCTCCCTGGCGCCGTCGGCCCTCCAGACCCACCTTTACCCGGGCCCACTCACCCGTCTGGGCAACTGATACTGTTAAGGGGCAGGATGCCCCGAAGGAGCTCTGCAGAGTCGGGGGACCCAACCCCTGCTCGGCTGTCTGGACTCCGCCCCTGCTCCCGGGACTGGAAACTACAACTCCCAGCAGCCCCCGGGAGAGAAGTGCCGGGGCCCAGGGGCGGAGCTAGCAGGCATTCTGGGACACTGGGGGATAAATGGGGAGCGGTTTTCCAGCTGTCACTGGAGAGGGGACGGCTCTCTCTCTGGAGCAGCAGCTCTCAGCCCGTGTGACTGGGGCTACAAGCGTTAGTTTGGGGCTAGAGCTCCAAGTTAGCCACGCTGGTAAAGTATTCCAGCTCCTTGGTATCCCTCGCTCTCTCCCTGGGTTGTTTCCTTTTCCTTTCCCCTTTTTTCTAACAATAAACCCATCACCCTTTCTGTGTGCGCCTGCACACATTTTGAGCGCGGGGGAGGCCCCACAGACAGGCGGCCCAAGTCCACTCTGGGGTGCCCTGTAACAATATGTGCCACCTTTACTCAGCTTCCCTGCAATTCTAGGGCCACAGTCAAGACGCCCCAAAAGGAGACAATCACAAAGAGGTAAAGACGCGCTCTGAAGAGGGCTGGAAGGGGCTTCCCTAAGCCAGGCCGCTGGTGGCAGACCCCTCCTGTGGCCCGCTGCTCCCCGCACAGTGTGTTTCAGTCAGTCCGCCTGTTCTGCTACCCGCTCTGTCTCTGGTGAATCCTTTCCCCCCACACCTGGCCCGCACCCCAGTTCCTCTACCCAAAAGTAAGTAAATAAGAGTCAGGCCTTTGGGTGGCTTGGTGCGGGCTCACCCAACCGTGGACAGTCCACGTGAGACACTGGCCCTGCACCTGGCCAGGCGTCTTCTCTCTGCTGCAGCTGCGGATGGGGAGGGGTGTCCTGATGGGCTCGGGCCTCACATAAAGAGGGGGCAGCAGGGAAGTGAAGCCCCAGGGCCAGCCAATAGAGTGAACCAGGGAGACAATGCTGGAGGGTTCCGGAACCTCGGCCTTTGCCCACAGTTATGTCCACCTGCTTCTCTCCACAGCTGCCCAGCAAGTGTGTACCTCAGTTTCCTTCACGGGACAGGAGCTCTGGGGGCGGGGGCACCCTTTACAGAGAACATGGGCAAGGCCCCCACCCCACCCTGGCGGTGGGGACTGAGACTCAGGTGGCACCAAGTCAGCCTTGGGCCTCTCGCCCCCCACACACTCTGCCTGAGCTCATCTGCACCCCCGTGGGGTAACGTGGGCAGAAAACCCTCCCCCGTACCCACGCTGGGAACCTGTCACCATCTCACTGGACAAGACCCAAAGAAAGGAGCAGAAATGTCTTCTGCCCTTTGCGAGACTACAAGGAGCTCGTCCACAGGCCTGGGGACCCCCATGGGGAAATGGGAGCGAGACTCTGAGCGCCTGGAGATAGCGGCTCTGCTCTGAGCTCTCCCCGTCGGCGGCCAGAGGCTGACAAGCGCCGTCCTCCTCACTCTTCCAGGACCTGCTCGGAGCTCCAGGTTATGATGGAGGGAGGAGGCAGTGCCACACTCACAGCTGGGGACACATCCCCAGGCCATGCGCCGGGCCCCCCCACTCTTCTGCCTGCAGGACCCGGCCTCCCTGTGAAGCGTCCATGGTCACACCGAGCCTTGCCCTAATCGCTCTGCCTCTCCCCTGCCACGTCGGCCCCACGCCCACGGGGGCACCTTCAGGTGTGGGCACTCATGACCTCGGGGCTCCCTCCCTCCACCGCAGAGAAGGTCTCTGGGCCCAATGCCCCGAGGCTGCCCCTCAGCCACGTCTGCAGCTCAGCTTCCCCCACCAGCGTGGGAAGCTCACGCCACTCTCAGTTGCGTGACCCAGAACACTCCACTGTCTGGAACCCAGCCCGCCCGCTTCTCCGGGTGCCGCCCACCCTCCCCCCACCCTCCCCCGGCTCTGGTGGGGCTCAGGGCCACTTCTCGGCCAGAGCATCCCAAGCCCCAACCTCTGGGCCCCGTGTCTCAACTCTCCCCACCACCTGCCCCTGGCCCACCACGTGCTCAGCCACCCGAGCCAGGGGAGGACAGGCCGGCACTGCCCGGGGGTTTGCGCCTCCACTCCGGCCCTGCCAGGCACGTGCCCATCCTGACCCACCCACCC